TATCTTTAATTTTCCGTTGTTTTTTTGTTTCTTTATTTTCTTTTAGCTTCCGCACGTTTCTTGGTTTTCTTTAGTAATTCTTGGACCCCTATCGTGTTGTTATCATATGCCTTCATTGTTACTTGTCATTTAATTATTCTTGTATTAAATTATCCGTCCCTTCCATGCCTCCATGCTTATTTTCTACTTGTCTTTACTTGCTTTACTTGCATATCTAAATCGTCATATGCTTTACTTGCCTTATAGTTTTGTAATATTTGTTGCCTTCTACAATATGTTTTCACTTGCATGAGTTGTTTAATTGATAGATACCGATGAGTTGGTAAAGTTGAGACTTCGAGTTGTTAGAGATTCCTTGATTATTATTTGATTATTTATTGTCTCGTACATTTACCCTCTTGATGTAGAAATTCTTGTAACGTTTGGTTGTTGAATTGTTTATGTTGATTGAAATTGTTTGGGGAGCGGGTTGCACGCCGCAACGGAAATCGAAAGGTAATAAATTAAAATGGCGAAATAAGGACGGATTATGATATTGACAAATGATGATATGGTGGAATCGGGTTGCGCGCCACTAGGGGCGTCAACGGATATTTCAAAACCGACTAAACAGACCGAATTGTACCGCACCGAACTGATTTTTAGGTTTTTTTTAATAAAACCGTTGGATTTTATATAAATTTATAACCGTACCGATAATTAGGGTAGGTTTTTATTTTATGAAAATAAACTAAAAAAATACCGAACCGTACCGAATAAATTTACATGGAAAATATATTTATATATCAAGTTTAAAAATAATAAAGCATTAAATTTTTCCTTGGGCCTTGGAATTATGAAAACGGTTACAAGCCAACAAGTAATTAAACTTAATATCCTAATTCTCAAACCTATTCTACTACTCCTATTGAAACTAAATTATTTCCAACATGTTCAATAACAAGACACACAAGGTATTGTAGTGATTATGAGTAGAAAACTACAATGTATTGAATATGTTTCCTTTCGTATAATTTAAATTTATATTTTTAAATATTTAATCTTCTATAAACTTTATTCTTGACTCCTAGCTTGCTAATATCTTTTCACTCTTGTGATTTTTTTTTAATCTTTGCTTAGTTTCTTTTACGATATTGTAGAATAGTTGATGGAACTATACTCTGGCCATCTTTCATGTTTTCTTAATTCATCACCCTTTAAATAGTAAAAATGTCTAGAGAGTTTTGTTAAGTCTTATAAAAGTACGTATATTATTGCATTCTGCTTCTACTAGTGACTTTTAAATGACATTTAAAAAATATCAAAAATTGACCGAATCGTGCCGATACCGAAGAGAAACCGACATGATTGGTACGGTTTTTAAAAGTCTACTTTTGGTTATACATAATAGAATAACCGAAAAATTGGTATGATATAAATTTTATAAAATAACCGGTCGAACCAAACCATTGATACCCCTGCGCGCCATAACAGATTGTATATGTTGTATTTATTTGTGATTGTTGGATTTGCCTCAGTATTTTGATATGAGATTATGAGACTTGTTATTCTGAGCTCTCTAGTAGTTGGATTTCGAGTTCATTTTTATGAGTTAACTGCTTTACTTCCATTTCCTATTTTTCCTGTTATTATTATTATTATTATTGCGTACAAATTATTGTAAGTGACCCGCCTTAGCCTCGTCACTACTTCGTCGAGGTTAGGCTCAGCACTTACAAAGTACATGGGATCGGTTGTACTTATACTACACTCTGCACTTCTTGTGCAGTATCAGAGTTGGTCCCAGCAACACTGAGTGAGACTGCGCCGATCCAATTATCTGTGGAGACTTGAGGTATAGTTGCACGACATCCGCAACCCTGAAGTCCCCTTCTATGTCCTCGTTGCTGTTTATTTTATTCCAAACATTTGTGTTTTATTCAGACTATTATCTGTAGTACTATAGACGCTCATGTATTCGTGACTTCAGTTTCTGGGATTACATTTGGATTACATCGTTTATTAGTTCATCACTTTATTTCAGACTATTCGGTTTTACTGTTATCATTGATTTAAATTGTTAAAAATGGTTAACAAATATAGCTAACGTTGGCTTGCCTAACAAGTGAAATGTTAGGCGCCATCACGTTTCCGAGAGTAGGAATTCCGGATCGTGACAGATATTCACAAAAGCATATTAATTATTAAATATAAATAACAAAAAAATCCAAGTTCCTGTTAATATTGATGAATGTTAGTTATTTATCTAACTCAGAAGATCTTTGCTCTACAAATACCTTATTATTTGGACTTTCATTAGCGATAGATTTAGGTTCTCGCGCCATCTTTCCACGTAGATTCGATCATTATCATGATAAAGAGATTATACATGCCAATAAATGTTGTTACTTCTTTTAGCTCAATAATGATGGGTAGTATCGGTAGCCACATATCGACACTACGGAACTCTATGACAATGCTTTTGAAAAATATTTTATTAATATTTTCTTAAAAAAAGAATAGCTTGAAATAACTAATATTTTAACATAACCGACCTTAAAATTTTAACAATCTGAAAATAATTGTGAGCTCCTGAGTATGATTTCTGTACAATTTTCTTTAAGTTTTCGTCTTGGTATCTTGAAGTGGAACACTTCTAATGTCACCTGAATTATTATTATTTTGGGTGAAATAACAATTCCTAGAATTATGATTTCTTGTGAAAATTAACTTACTCGACTTATATAAGTAATTACTGGAATTACAATCCTAAATATTAGGATTTCCTATACAGTTCAAATAAGAAAAAAATCTAATAATCAAAATTTTAGTTGATTTCAACGTCCTAAATATTAAACAATATTAATTAAATGATAATTTTGTTCATATTAAATTTATTTTTAAATGATAAACAAGTCAATCAATTTCGCGTTGAAGTTTCAAGCTTTTATGATAGTTAGATTGGTTGAAGAGGACAATTTTTTTAAAAATGGTGTAAATTTCTATATATTTAATAGTTTTTAGTTTTAGTCTCACATTATTTATCATATAGTTAGTATACATTAATGTAATTTGTCGCAAATACTAAATGAAGTCAAATTGTTCTTCAAAAAATTACTCATTGAGGTCAAAATATTATTTTGTTCACGATGAATACAATTTGAGTACTAGTACGATGTCGCTTTCTAGTTGTCATGTATAAACTACTTCAAACGAACTTCTATAAATTTTGTACTAATGTTCCAAATAATTGACTTTTTAAACATTTATTTAAGGTAAAATTTTAATCGATTTTAAAGTCTTAAATTTTATGTACCTAGTTTAAATAAAGAAAGACTTAATAATCAAATTACAACGAATTTTTAGGTCTTAAATATTTAAAAAATAATTAAATGACTATTTTACCTAGTATGAATTCTATTTTTAAAAATTAAAAATGGCGAACCACATTTACTAAGGTGTTCGTGTTTAGGATTAGCTTAACAAAGCGTGTAAAGGTGTCACAAACCCCACCACTAAAGTTCTAAAAGATACAATTTGGCTAAAAATAGAAATATATTTTGCCAATATGGAAAAAATCAATTCAGTTCCTTCTATAAATCTCCCCCTCCCCATCTTCATATCTGGCTTGCCCTAGGTGTGGTTCCGGTCCATTGCGCTAATTGAGCTCGCATTTTTCTCCCTAGCTAGCATAAATCTCAGGTCTCCAAGCTTCGTCCATCCTCATTGCGGTTTCAGTTCACCTGTATCGCTGTATTTTCTCATTATTGGATCCAAGGTGGAAGATTCAAATTTGTGATTTTGGAGGTATTTTTGTGAGTACATTTATTGTAAGAGATATCTTCTTCGATTTGTTTAGCTGGTAAGTGGTGAAAGCTCTTTTTGTTGTTTTTTCGAAGATTTGATTCTGCTGTAGCTGATCGTCGACCATTTTTGGTTTATTAGGTTGAGTCTATCAGCCAAATATGAGGGATAATATAGTAGTAGGCCGTGAATACATGGGTGAGTGGGTGCAGACTGTAAAATACTGAAATTGGCAGTCTAAATCGAAGGTGGCATTAGTTGTTGTCGTGCCTTATATCTATTCTTTTAACGAGTTGGTTGAGAGCGTAATTAAATGTGGTTAGTTAAGATGTGAACTTTATAATGTTTTAATTAGCTTATGACTAATTTTGTTCCTAGTAAGGTGAAAGTTGTCTCTTCTTTCATAAAAAATGATCAACATGTGGGACTGTATTTTTTTGATATTGCTAATGGTGGTGCTAGGCCTATTCTAAGGATAAACGTGGTTGAGAGGTCTCAACAACCTTCAACAGCACCACCACTTTCACAACCACAACTATTAGTTGATACAAAAATAATGTGTAATGAAGGATGTAATGATTAATAATGTTCATGGAATTGGATGATAATAGAGAATATCCAATGAATATGGATATTCCAGCAGACGATTAACACAATGTTCAGAGCATCATAGCGTCGTTGGTAGACGTGTTGCTCTAGAACACAAGACAGTCATGGTTATTTTGATAAAACTGTTTTTTTCATGAGAAAACATTCAAGAAGCATGAGTTAGTTGGGAGATTAAAGCTAGGCACCATGAAGAAGACCTTTAGCTTCTATATAAAGAAGAGTAATAAACCATTGAATGTAGTGGCATGTGAGGTTGAAAATTGCAAGTGGATACGGCGCGTAAGAAAGTACGTTAAAGGGGATAGACTCTATATTATTAAGTATAAAATCGAGCACACTTGCGGTGTTCAAAATCTCAAGAGCGAACATCGCATGCGTCAGCTTTTGTCATTGTTGGATTTTTGATAAATGACTTTGCTGATGGCAAAGGGCCATCGATTAAAAAATTTGGGAATATTTTGTAATCATTTGCATTGTGAGGTGAGCTATTGGAAGTGCTGGAATAGGGTGTTCTTGCTAAAAACATTAACAAGGGGGGCACCTGAGAATAGATATGCTATTTAAATTGCATATCATTACGTGCTTGAAAAATAAAAATCGAGCTAGTAAGACTGTATTGAAACTTGATGCGGAGGGGAGGTTCCTATATATTTTCGTAGCTTATGGAGCTTGCGTTAGAGGATTTATGAACATAAGAAAGGTTTTAGCTGTTGATTTTACCTTTTTAACAGGCAAGTATGTTGGTGTCCCGTTGACTGTGGTGGGACAGGATACTGAGCACTATATCCATCAAGTGGCATTTTGTGTTGTGGACAAGAAGTGCGATGACTCATGGTCTTTCCTTTTCGAGCAATTGAAGCCCGTAGTTGAGGATGATTGAAAGTTGTGCATAATCTCTGACATGCATCTTTGCATAACCAATAAAAGTTTTGGGGTTTATAAGCATGCTCTATTAGGATAGAGTCCAAGTCTACGTAAATCTCTCATTCAAGATAGAATTCAAGCCTACGTAGATCTCTCATTCGGTTATTTAGTTTGAATACATTTGAATTGTATTCTTCAATTATCTCTTAGATTTTATAATACACTAGGAGTTGTATTTTTAAAGTGTCTCTGAAGCGTAGATATATAGGAGGAACTCCTCCTCTGTATCGTGATTAATATTAAAAATACTCCAAGTTTCTTTAACTCTTTCATGGTATCGGAGCACCATTTGGAATCATGTATACCAACAATGCTACTCCATCTCTCCCATCCTCACCGTGGAAACTACCCTTGTAAACGAGAACTCATCATTGACAAACTTCAACCACTCAAATCTGATGAAACTAGATCGCCACAATTATATTTTGTGGAAATGTTAGATTCTTCCTGCCATAAGAGGGCACAATTTGGAGGGCAATATTAATGGTTCTTATTCTTGTCCTTCAAAGTTCATAACTACAAGTCCAGGTAATGATAGCTCCAACGAAACCAGCGTCAACCCAGAATATCTATTTTGAAGAAACAAGATCAACTTTTGTTAAGTCGGTTGCTGTCCGCAGTTACTGAAGGAGTACTTGCACTAGTTGTTAGATGTTCCAGCTCTAAGGAAGTTTGGATATCTCTTGAGAATATATTTGCTTCACAATCACATCAGCATCCTTACCAGCATCTGGTGCATCTGATAGAAATTTAGTCAAGAAACGACACTTGAATAGACAAAGTACATGCTGAAATTTCTTGAGCACATCCAACGAAAATTTGAACTTGAGGGCCTCTCTTAGTTTATTGTCATCCTGGTGCAGAGAAATATCATATGCTAGTTGTGACAATCTTCTAGCTACAAAAGCATCTCCAACACTACAGGTGTCCACATAATCCAACTTCAAAACCTTAACTCTTCTACAGAATTCCTTGGTATAACAGAAGCTAACTTCACGGCCTTTTGTGACAAGAAGTAACCTCAGATTTGGATGGCACAACTTAGGAACAACAATATTATAATGTGAATCTTCTCCTTGTGCCAAAAAGTAATTCTCCTCTTCACCTATGTTAAATATATCGGCAGTTTCCCATATGCCAAGGATAGCTTTTCTAGCACTTGATGCTAAAAGCTTCAAATTGGAAACAATGGACAAGATCACATCAGCATCCTTACCAGCTTTTGTAGCATGAAAGTGGGCTAATTTTCAAGGTTGAGCAATTGCCTTTGCAAATATTATTTTGCCAACTTCAGGCTCTCCATAGAGAACGATCCATGTAGGAGGCTGGATACCAATGTCTTCAGACAACTTGGAGTGAGTCAAAGGACACTCAACGACTTCTTTAATCTCCCGAATCTGCGCGTCTAATCCACCAAAATAAGCATATAACTCTGAATGAGGTTTTCAACCTTCATAACAGACAACACGCCATCGACTTCATCTAGTCGAATCCCAACAACATATAGAACCTTAGTATGTATCCAAGTAGCACGAGGTTCCAATTGGTCTTTATCCGCAAAGGGCAAGATCTCAACGTGACACTCTGGCTCAACAGAATGAGAAATCTGAGATTTGGCCAGCAATTGCCAATTCTTGAAGACATCAAACTGAACAGCGAGAATTTGAGTGAAATTTTTGCTAAGCAGGGCAAGCGAGTTCTTGCCAATTATGTCATCTAATACACCTCTCTCATTGTCCAGCCAAATACTTTGACACACACACACACACAC